GCATATCGGATATCGGCCAAAATCCCAATATCGTGCATCCCTATTTATTTAATAATGTACCATCCTCTGTTGCTCGTTCGATGGAACATTGGAAAAGTTACGACATAAAAGTTTTCCTTTAGGATCAATAAAGTATTTTTTAACTGATTTGAATATTAAATGCCTGAATGTCTCTGATTCATTTCAGCATATTGTTAGAGAATTCTAATAAAATCCCAGATCATCTCTCTCTCTCCCTCCTCAGGCAAACATGGTTGATCATCACCCTCATCCTCACCTCGCTGCTGTTGGCCACCCTGCTCGTTCCCCTGCTCCAGACGTGTCGAGGATCAGTGGCGTCCCGCTTCCCCGAGCGCCAGGATTATTCCTACGTTCCGCTACGCGACATCAATGGAGCCGCCGCTGAAACTGGGAACTCTGGGACGGGAGGTTTAGGACTGGAGGACTCTGATTCCCAGGAGGATATATTCACTCAGAGGTCGTAGCAGCCTGGAGGACAGAAGATGAGGAGTGAGAGCCCTGTTGCTGCACAAAAACACATACTGGATGCTCTGTCACCACTTTAGACCAAACTTCATCAGTGAAGCTTAACAGTTTCACTTCGTTGCTCTCATCAAAGATATCATCAGGGTTTTCCTGAGGTGTTTGGCAGATTTTCTGAAGCTGGATTTTTGTTTTCAGTCGAGGCGTTTCCACATGAAGTTTAACAGGTGGAGATAAAATCTTTATTTTTATTTTTCAACTCTTGGCTCTGTTTCATCTCCAGGTTTGGATAACGTTCCCAAACGTCTGACTGTGAGCTGTGACCTTTTCCCTCATTTTTCTGAGCCAAAAACCAAAAAAAACATTACAGACTCTCACACACAACAGGAATTATAAATATTAATATATTTGTTGTTTTTTTACTAGGAGTGGGATGTTTACAGGCCTTAAAAACGGTGTTTCAAGTGTCTTAAGTACTTTCCGAAACGTACCAGCAGTTTGTTTTTATAGTAATTCCTGATTGTTTTTCTGTTGGTGAAGTCAGGAGCTCAATGGATTTATAATCTTTGAATTTAAAATATATTGTTCTTCCAAGAAGCAAAAAAAAACATAATTCTTCCAAAGTTTGGGCTACGTTTATAGATTGGAAATAATTAAATATTTTCAAGATTAAAAGGACTACTGCTGAGATAGTTTTGTGATACGGATCTTTTCTAAGTTTGAATGTTCAACTTCCTTCTGTTTGATCAGATAAACTTTATCAAAACGACAATAATATTCAAAACAAACAATCATGTTGGAGGAAAATATGATTATAGTCACAATGAAGTGAAGTGAAATTAGTTTTTTATTCTGTTTGTCTTTTATATACTTGGTCATTTTGAGACAATAAAGGCCAATTTATGCTTCTTAATTATAGCCTCTGCAACCGTCAAATCTGTCTCTATGCGTGACCACGCCCCCCGCGCAGAGGTTCTGCAACTGTCGTTTCGCACCTCAAAGAAATCCTGACTACGCGTCAGACCGTCGCAAACCCGTGCAGACCGCAAGCGGAAGTGCGCATCCAAAAAGCAGCTGTGATTGGTCCTTGGTATGCCTTTCCGGCTGTCTGTGTGGTCGTCCTTCTTGATTGGGTGTCAGGGCGCGCCATTTTTAAAAACCGAGGAACAATTACAACTACGACAAAAGGTTAAGCGAGGAGGTTCGCTGCTTTTACAGAACCTGTTCCTCTTCGAAGTCTAGCAACTCTAGATCCATCTCCATGACATCTTGCAGATGCGGCATTGTTGTTTTGGAAGATAAACTCTCCCGCCGGCGCCGCCGAAGTTCTCCCAAGATCTCGAATAGGCTCCTCCTTGCGCTTTGGCGGGAAACTGCTGTGCGTCCCTACAAATTCCACACAGACGGTGCAGAAGCAGACCAGCAAAAATGGTCCGGTACCAGACCCAAGCGACATTTGATGTGTGCAGATGCAGAAGTCTAATCTGCCCTTAACTCAGGTAAAGTCTACTCCTGTTACATTGAAGCCAAAGAGGGAAATAAGAGTCCTAACACCTGAATAGATATCATTGCTTGCAGCTAGTTGAACCGGTCTATAAGAGCTACTTATTAAACTCCTTAAAAAAAAGATGTCTTTAGAGAGATTGGTAGATTATTAGAAAGGAAAGAAGGACATTTCTATGAAGCTGTCAAGATGATTTGTTGCCTATTTCTCCAAACTAGGCTTTTGTTAAACTGTTTTACCATCCATCCATCCATCCATCCTCTTCCTCTTATGGGTCTTTGGGTCGTGGGGGTAGCAGCTTCAGTAGGGAGGCCCAGATGTCCCTCTCCCCAGCCACTTGGTCCAGCTCCTTCGGGGGAATCCCAAGGCGCTCCCAGGCCAGAAGAGAAACACATTCCCTCCAGTATATCCTGGGTCTCCCCCTGGGCCTCCTCCCGGTGGGACGTGCCTGGAACTCCTCACCAGGGAGACTTCCAGGAGGCATCCTAACCATATTCCCGCCACCTCAACTTGCTCCTCTCAATATTTTACCCTAAACCAAAATTTGAACGCTGCAACAAGTGTCTATCTAACCAAGTCTTAGTTTTACCCAACAAGTCTTTGTTTTGAGATTGGTATATGAAGCAAGAACAGATTCTGTGAGATTTTTTATCTTTTATGTTTTCGCAAAGAAAGAGAAAGCAGTGAGGAATCCCATCAAACCACCAGAGCTCCTCCTCACCGGTTCATCTGGGCACTAGAAGCTGCGGTATGTTTACTTTCAGGTTCTGTCGCTGCTATAACAGCTATAATTCTGCACACACAGGAAAAACAATCTAGAAATAAGTAAAAATTTTCTCAAATTAAATGCATTTACCCTTAATTTGAGTAGGTAAATGAGATAGTTTGCGAATGCAATTAGTTTTTTACTCTTAAAATAAGATATTTAGATAAAATGCACTTGGCATAAGACAATGCAATTGTTTTTTTCTTATTTTAAATGTAAATTGTCTTGTTCCATTTACTTCCTCAATTCAAGAACAAATGCACTTATTTTAAGAAATAATAACTTATTTAGATTTTGGGTTTTTTTCTAGTGCAGACTGCAAACAGCATCACCGCAGAATGTTGTGGGTCGAGTTGAGGTCGTGGTTTTGGAGATGCCAAAAACCGCCATCAGTTTTAATATTTAATAAAACACATCTGAGGTCATCATGTTAACTCTTTCAGCACTCGGATTCTCCAGTAAGCAAACATGTCTGATTGGGCCTCAGTCGGAGCTGAACCTTCACCTGCTGCAGCTCTGGGGTTTTTTCTGCCAGGTGCCATTGCTCTGCCGCATGCGTTTCACCCTGGGCTGCACTTCTAGCATTATAGACGGGCTGATAAGAAAACAACCCCCTGTTTAAAGTAGAGCTGGGTAATAAATTGCATTTGCAATATCTCAATTTAGCAAAACGCAATTTACAAGTCATAAAGAGGCCTTGATTTTTAATCACACTATATTCAACGAAAGTAAGACATAAAATTTCTCCCTCCAGCCCTTTAGCTGGTAATAAAACGCTTTAAGTGGGTCTGTCGCCACTGATAAAGGAAGAAGAGTTGAAGCTAGCACACAGATGAAAGCCTGGGTGAAAAAAAACATGGGGTCCGTGCAAAGGACAATAGAAATAAAATTTCAATTTTGGTTGAAAATAAAGCTCCAGTTCAAACAATGTTCATTTTAATGCTGTCAGTGTAGGTTTAAATCTGTAACCTTTGTTTGCTAAAGTAAGAGAACACAATGAGTTTTAATTTAACCTGATGCTATTATGTTAAACCTAAGCTGAATTTCAGTTTTTTTAAATAAAAATCTCATTGTTTCCTCTGACAAGATTTAAATCTTCAGAATATCCTGCAGTTATGCTCCCCTGCTGTTTGGCCCACAGGCTGCATGCAAACATGGCCGCTGAGGTACTTCCCTGCCTGTGAGGCTTCCCCCTGCAGCTACCATCCAGGTGAGGTTTGTTGCAGAGGAGTTAACGTACTTTGTCACAGGCTAACTATTGTTCTTCACATTACTATTTGTTTATTAAACCTACTACTTCCTACTGCAGGCTTCGTCTGTTTCAGAAAACAAAACCTCCATTGTTTATTTCAGCTGGCACTCTTCATATGAATGTATGACCCTAAAATAACTGCAAGAAACTCTTTGACAATAAAATTGTTTTACTGTATATATATTTATTTATCAAATAGTGAAAAATTTCAATTAAATTTTTAATACATTTATTTCCTAATGGATGACATTACAAAAATTAATTTTATTATTTAAATTTTATTATTAAAAAGTGTTTTTTGTTTCTATAGTGGTGTTCTGACCTTCTTAGGAACCCCTGACTTGATGTAAAAATAAAAATGTTGCTCTGTTTGCTCCACAGTTTTTCTGATGGATTTTAGAGGCCGACTTAAAGTTGACGAACTGATTATTTGTACAAATGTCCTTCCGTAGTGGAGCGGAGTAACCCCTAATTTACACAGCCACTCTCCGCCCAGATGCAAACTGTGCGGTAAATGCACAATAATTACGATCAAGAAGAGCATCTATAGCAGGGTTTCCGCGGGTAAGTCATTAAATTATTATTATTTAAATTAGGGCCTTCATTGGCATTAAAATTAAGTGAATTTGATTGTCGTTGCATTTAAAATGCTTTATTTTTAAAAAAGTTTATAAAAAACTATGTTGTCAGATACATTATATCAGATATAAATGGTTCCGCATGTTTGCGTAGAACTGCTTCTGGTTGATCGTAAAGCCGCATGTTGAGAAAAGAAGCTCGAGGCGGAGAAAAGGCTGGAGAATGCGGGGGGAAATGCAAATTTCAACAAAAGTGGCAGAAAAATGACATGGCTTCAGCCTGTCGACTGTAAAGATGACAAAGAATTTTGCAGTGTTTTTTAAATATTTTTAAATATATATATATCCTTTTGTTTATGCTGCGTTATATTTTGACTTATTTATCTCCAAATTCAAAATGTCTCACAGCCAGAACCTCTGTTTTCTGTTTTAAACTTGGATTTTGTTTTTTATAAAGCAAAGTTTTCTCTGAATATTGCTTTATTATGTCTAATAACCAACTTAATACATTGCCTTTATTATTAAGGGAGAGCTTCTTCCGTATCAGGGAGTGATAAGACCCTAAGATTGTTCCTATTGGATGCAGAGCATCTTTTGGAAAATTTTCTGTTATATTTAGCCCTGAACTTTGACCCTTCTATCCGATAATTTGCTCTGATTTAAACCCAAGCCTATATGGGTTTTAAATGTATTATTTATAGAATATATATATATTGATTTTTCCTCTTTTACAGATTTTCTTAGAATTTTTTAATATTTCAAAAAGATTTAACACCTTTTTTTTTTGTGGGGGGGGGGGTCAGATTTATTTTTTTTTTTTTACAGTTTACAATTCTGGTTGCAGGTTTTCCTCGACTGACGAGCGAAGTAACATTTCCATTCTGCATGACTGTTAGAAATAATGTTTCGGTCACTGTGAACATCAAGGCGAGCGCTTGTTTTGAGCTTAGAGTTAACAGAATGTGATCTGTTAAGCACAATTTAAAAAGAATTCAATCTGAAAGACTGAATATTGGAGAAAGAATTTAAACAATCTGTATAAAAACCTAATAAAATTGAATTTGAAAAGTTAAGCTAAAAAATCTTTATTTATATGTTTAACGAAAAGTTCAACAGAAAAAATGAAAATTTGAAAACCGCAATGTTACTCAAAACCTTTTTGGTTTAAAACATTTTTTTCTTTTAAATTCTTGTTACAAACTTTGTTTTCCCTTTCTTTTGTCTCATACTGTGATGGAAATATTTGGTATGGCTGCTCTCTTATGTTCCCTGAATCCTCTTCCATATTTAACATCAGTCAGATCATTGTTTAGGTCTTTTCCTCATGCAGTTACAGGTTTTTCTCAGGTCTTGCTCAGTCCATTCTTCGCTCCCCTGAGGTTGTTTAGATGAGTTGTATGTTTCATAACCTTTCTATAATTAACTCACTTGCTGTTACAGGAAAGCAGCTCAGCCAACACAAAGCTATCAGAGAAAGTAGCCAGAGCCAAAGGCCAGCTGACTCTCCACTCCGTCCCGCCCTCTCCGTCTGCTCTGCTCAGCTGATGCAACTCAAGGAAGAGATGACGTTTTCACATTTCCCTCCTGGATTTCCAGGCTAAGGTGAAAGGATTTTTCCCCTCTTCACGCAGGATTAAAAATAGATCTGAGTGGAGAGTTGAAATGTTTATTTCTCCTTAAAGGTCCAGTTTTTTTTTCCCCCCGTCTGTTTGCAGATATCAGCTCATCAAACCTTCCACCTTTCTTCAGCACATTTTTTGTCAGGGTGTGCTCTCGTCTTTCTCGGTGTCAAAGCTTATC